GATATCGACACTTTCTTCTTCTGATATTCAATGTATTCTCGAGCCAGTTCGGCACCTTCGTCCGATGCCGATGTTCGAATCATCCACAGTTGAGTCTCTTCGTCAAAAGTGACACTGTCGATTTTATCCGAAGAACAACATCACAGACCGTGAAAGTGGATTGGAAATGAACTAGACTCTTTTGTTTGGAAGGATTATTTTTCAATATTTTTTGGGACCTCTCAGCATTTTGCGATTTTTACCGGGAAGAAAAGCTTTTTTTGAAAAACAAAGTTCATCACAGAATGCAGCAGACTCTCCTCTACCAGTCCATATTCAAATGAAAAAGATCTGAGACCTTGCTGAAAGTTCGCCTTGGTCGAACCTTACAACATTAACGATGACAAATATTTTAGCTTAACAACAGCTTAGTTAAGTTTATTAGACCCTTACCTTTCGGCGTAGGGTGAATATAAAAAAAGTACAACTGAAATAGTATGAATAGTTTTAGCTGCATTCAGAGAAATGCAAAGTTGTTGGTTCGGTGAGTTTGCAGTTTGTTCATTTTAAAGCCTTAATGTTGAGGCATGCCGTCAGAGTATCATCTCCAAATCTACAACGGACCTAGTTTCAATTGTACTCATCATTTCTCTCACACCATTAAGGCTTCGCTTTCTCGACGTTCCTTTATACTTTAGATGCTTAATCTACTTTCTTACACCAATCTTTGGCGTATGAGATCACATGCTTGGTGATTCCTTGAGACTTTCGACATTTCGGGCAAGTGCACCGATATGATGAAAATGGAGAAGATGAACGCTATCATACCGAATAATTGTGAGATTATATCGCCCAAACTGACGATTCTAGTTGATTTTTGCGTCATTTTGAGAAAATCACAATTAATCAATGACTTTTTCCTCTAGTCAATAGCAACAGATCACTTTGAACCGCACTCTAAACTTCTATTTTCTCTTCTTTTTTCTCAATCATTGTTACTTTTAGTTCATACACAGCGCTTTTTCTCACTTCATGATCATTGTTATTTCAAACAATAAAGGGGAAAAAAGGTCTACAAATAAGAAAAACAAAAATCAAAAACTTTTAGTACACCAAAAAAATATAGTTTAAGAAGAAATCAGAACGAATTCTTTCCGCAGGAAAAGAGGAAAACAAAGAAGTATCTGTAGTATTGTTTTTTCTTGATTGTAAATATAATAAGTAACTGACGTTGATATTATCATCATTTAACTGTTAAATTAAATAGAGGTTAATTTAATCATACTGTTCCGGTTGTTGACCTATTGTAAGATGTTCATCATCATCATTTCTGTGTACATATAATGTTGAAATATTTTGAGTTGTTAACCAAAAGAAACAGTTAACGATTTATGAAAAAATTGTTTTATCATATCATACTTGTCATTGCTGTTCTAGCGCTTTTCCTTGATTTGATCTTTTACTCAAAATTGAATCGTGTGGATGGCCAAACAGATGACGTTTCATTGACTGAATAACCAAATTTCTGTTTAACTGCGTCTAAAACAAACATCGAGGAATAATAAAGTGATAAATCTTATTTTTGATCTTGTCATTGTTTTCTTCTATATATTGTTTTAATTCTTGGACCTAGTAGAAGGGACGGATTTGATCATTTAAAATCATTTTTTGTATTTCTGCTAGCATCTCTCTTCTCTGTTGTATCGACTTTGGGTACGGACGTGAACTAATAGGCAGGGCATCACCGTTATTTATTGTATGTTGAATCGCTGTATTCGCCTGAGTTATCTTTGACGTGCCGAATAATTTCTCGTGTTTCTTCAGTATTTGGCGAATATCATTTTGATGATGAGGAGAGCGAATGTGAGAGGGATTACTGGAATATCGACAACCGGAATTTGGTCACCTGAATTTCGGCAATATCGAAATTCAGAAAGACTTTCGACAATTGCCGAAGTTCTTTCGGAATTACGACAATATTGTCAAATTTCCCCTGGAATTTCAGCAGTTGTCCAAATTCTGAGGGAATTTCAACTATAAAAGTTATATACAGGTACAAAATAAGAATTTTTTTATCCTGTTTCCTAAGGAAAGGAAAAAAAGCTTCACTCTACGTTGAACCGCTCGCTACATAGGGATGTACAGTACTTCTTATCTTCTATGAAGAACGACGAGGACCATTACACTACTGCGTGCTCAGAATTTTACATTTACTTTTCGACTTCAGCATTATGTCATATACGAACCAGGCATTGGCGAGTCCGAGCCAAGTCCGGGTCCTTGACATTGACCGAGTCCATTTCGAGTTCGGTAATTTTTTAGATTCTTTCTTTGATAGGTGTGGTTTATTTCTCTTTTATAATTTACTGAGCCCTGGATAGATATTTTATTTATCGAAAATAAGATTACTTTGCATGTCTATTTCCTGAACAAAATTTTCAATTTCTTGTGAAACAGAAGGTGTTATTATTTCGCTTTTCATTTTTCTCTGCTCATTTGTGTTGAAAGGTGAATGGATCGGACTCGAAATACAAAAACTCAAGCCGAGTCCGAGTCCTTTAAAAAATCTCCAGTCCAAGTCCAAGTCCGAGTCCGCCAGAAAATCTTCCAGTCCGGACTCAGACTTGCCCATGCCTGATACGAACTAACCCTAAAAAAGGACATGACTTGCATTGCGTACCACTCGAACCATAATTGACGAAAGCAAAGTGGACTTTCGCTAGTACACCTCATGACCACTCGCCAATTGGCGAACGTCCAGTGGACCTTCGATAATTGGCGAAAGTCGTATCGGCGTACTTCCATGATTCCGTCAGTTCGTCCTCGGAAGGAAAGAGTTTTAGTTGAACCGACATTGTCATTTGGTAAGAATAGAACGGATATCCATTCTAGAACTACCCGATGGATGATCTGTTGTGATAGAAAAGGTTGCTCCGTTGGAACCCACTGTGACACACAAGGAGACACCCGTAATTGTCCCGTTCTGGTACAAAAAGTTTAAAACTCCTGAAACTGTATATCACCGTCGAAAAAAACGTAAATGAGGAGCCGCCAAAAACAATTAGGATGCCTGTGCCGCATCTCAGCAGCTATAGCAGATAATGTACTCATTTTTTAGGGATAAACAGCATTGTTCAAACAAAAAAATTAATAAATTTTAGAAATTCCATCCGAAGAACAAAGCTATTCGATTTTTGTGCTTCGGGGAGCGACGACAACGCAAATTACTCTTTTGATCCAGACACCGCATCGTCTTTTATTGATGATAATGACGACGATTGACGGTTTACAGTATTTACACCAGATTTTCTGGTTTTCATTTTTGAAACTGTAGTCGATTCAGTTTCAGTTGTCTTTTATCTAGAATATTTCCTGGATATCTCGGTCGAATACTATACTAAAGAGATCGTTACAAAAGCAAAAGTTCACTTGAGATATACCCGGTAACCAGGCCTGTTTCAGAGAACCTAGAACATGTGTATGCTAAGCCTGATTACTTTCACAACAGAATGGACAGTAGCTTGAAGTATAGGTAATAAGTTCAGTTTCTCTTCATAGAAGTCGACGAAAATGCTCGCAATTTTAGGCTGCATTTAAGATCAACAGTCTCTTGTGGACATGGTACAGAAGGATCAGAACAGCATTCAAGCGAACATTTCTTGAGGAATAACAGTATTTTTCGAAATAAACGACAAGCTGTAAAGAGCGCACTCCTGGCTTTGACACGCTCAATTTTTCTTTACTCGTGTATATAAGACTCTTCTTTTAACTTCTTGATGCGACAAGTAAACCACACTTCATTGTTCGTCTCGTTTATCATCAGCAGTGTCTTTACTCCAGTCATACACAGGAATACAACCTGGAGAAGTTGGACACGAAGGACAGCTTCCACCGTATTCATGTGGCAATTGATCAAAGTCAATATATTGTAATAATGATGTTGATGTTTCAGGTCCTTTTTTAATGACAATAATTTTTGCTTTCGTTACAGGATCAAGCCAATGTTTCACTAAATTCCAAAGAGCAGGAAAAATCAATGGTGGATTTACAACAAACATCTGTCCTAGACGTTCAGGATAATAGGTGTCATCAATATAGAGGAATTGTTTAAATAGATGAAGTACTTTTCTTATTTCCGGCTTACAGCCGTTTAAATCCGAAATCATAGCAAAAGTTTCCACATGTTTACCCACTTGTCGACTACGCTGTCTTGCTAGTTGACAATTAAATTCAAGCCAATAGATATGACATTGGAGTAGTTCCTCTGTTGTAAACCAATTCAATATCTTATCCACATGCATTTGGCCTGATTTCTCAATATATAATGGTCGATGAGCTTTCGTATAGCCATGATTAGCAGACGGAACGATTCTTCGAAGGTGATCCATTCGAAGAGATGTGGGTAGATGTTCCAGAATAGAATCAACATGGTTGTCTATTCGCCATTGTATCATATCTCGAATAGATTTAATAGTATGAGCAATATTCCATTTTCTCGCACGAAGGTGTCTATGCAATTCATAACTCCATTCATTTTCTTCTTCTTCATTATCCATTTTAGTCTGCAGCTGTAAATTAAGTTTATATTGGAGATAGGATGTATGGTTCGTTTTTAATTCATTATAAACTGTATGAAATTTTGTTTGCTGTTCAGTAGTTAATTGATTAATATCAAACAAAGGATTAAGGGCGGTCATCGTTTTACACAATGATCTTAACGGTCCTTGAAATTATTCAGGTTTTTATGACTTGCTTATGAGAATAGAGATGTGCTGATAAACACATAGTCAATATAGTTACATGAAGGGCTTGTAATCAAGTAAACCAAACAAAAGAAAAAAGCAAAATTAGTATAGAAAGGTAAGTCACTCACGAACGATGAGTGTTTCAAGAAAAACGTAAGTATATTATTTTGCAGAAATAAAAGTTTCTTTATCCTGGTCATTGTAATGACAACAAAGTTATGTATAGTTAAAGATTCGCTTTGTAAGTTAACAACATTTACTTATCGACCAATGTTTACTAGAATTACATTTAAAAACTTCACAACCAGAGATGATTGGAAAATCCTTTCAAACATGCCAGAGCATCTGAAGGATCTATACGGATTACGACAAATTTTATTTCATCCTGCACTGTAAATTCATTCATGGACTTGTCTAAATGAAACCGCTGACTTTTTCCAGATAAAGCATCCTAAAAAGTTCGTGATTTCTCGTGTCCAATCGATAAAACATCACACAGTAGATTGAGAGATTCCAGTCTGAAAAGTCTGTGATTCTATTCTGATTACTTAACGATCTTTTTGGTTTAAAATAACCACCGACTTAAGTCCTTGTTTTTTGTGCAATGCCTACGATGTTTTCACGGTATAAAAACTGTGCTTGTGTAGCGGACGCGCATTGCTGTTTTTGTAACACACATGAATAAAAAATAATCATACCTTTCTTTATTTCGTAAAAATAACTTGGACTTCACTAATTCAACGGCAAAGTATTGACAGACGAAGCAAGACACCTATTCTTACTGAAAAATCTTTCAAAAATACACAGTAAACAAACGCTTGGATTTTTGTTCGTTTTCCAAAGATTTGCACCTTACACGATGAGGCGACGAAAGTATCTTTCCCCTGACGATAAGTTTTGTAGAAGAGCTTCGAATGTTGATGAGAGATATAATAGTTATATTATCATTTCGCTTTGGAATTAGATCTTGGAGTGTGGGTTCGGGGTAATGTGAGGTTGTGCCACCAAGCAATAAGTTGTGTGCGGATAGCTAAGATACATAAGACGATAAATTAATGACTCCTTTATCCCATTTTACTCCTGGCCAAAACACAGCGATTGACGCCGTCTGACAAATACTTTCGTTTCATATTTTTGACAATATTGTCTAATAGTTTCTAAATCGATATCACTTTGCTACACTGCGATGGCAGTGGTGATGAAAAATCATTCTTACCATTTGTTTAAGATCATATTAGCAAGTGATATGGCCAAAGTGAATATATATATATATATATGAATTAGTTGCATTGGCATTGTACCGTTACTGTTCATCGATTGTTTAGCTTACAAAAGTAGTTCTACGAAACAAAACTTAATATTTTCTTTTAGTTTGTTTGTTTAAAGATGATTATTTACCAGATGGCTCTAACATAAAACGCGAGGAAAGCCTTACTTTACTAGGCCTCGAAACAAGTTGTAAACTGAGATGTCTCGAGACTAGCATTTAACCTTCCAGAAGCTGTTGTTACATCAGGCACAATAAAGTCGTTTAAAACAAGGTGGCAAAGTTTACAGGTTCTCAGCTTTTTTGCCTTTCCAGTAGCGTGTTTTTGTTTTTTATGTAAAAATGTATATCTGTGTATTTTTTTTCACTATCTATCATCTACCTTTGGCTACTAAAATATAAATTAAACAAAATTTCAGGATATATTAGTCTTGATGAGAGACGAATACATAGAAAATATTTCCGCTGAATACTTAAAACGGAGTTGCGATCAAAACATGACGTCACAAAGCAGAAGATCATACAAAATTGGATAAGAAGTTGACACGTAGTAAAGTATTTTAGTAGCAGGCGACGTGTCAACTTCTTATCCAATTTAGTCAACTAACATGTTGGTTTTATTTTATAAAGCACATTAATGTCTGATGTTTGGTATGGTTAAAATACTTTCTTTGCTTTTCCAAGAACTTTGCTACATCTTAACAAAAACAATATTTTTAAATCTCCAAATTTTTTTACAAAGCACAGGAAATCCAAAATCTGGCTCTGTTAAAGGTCAGATATTGAGATGCTCTTTCTATCAAAAAACGAAAATTATAGATTCATATTAATGCAGGAGCGAGAATGATTTTTCCGCCCGAAAGATTACATGAAAAAATTAATTATGAGAAAAACGCAAAACGAAGGTTTTGGGTTGCACATAACCTTCTTAAACATCGAACTGGATATTTTACACACCATTCAAAAAGAATTAACAAGCTCTATGGAATGACATATAGGCTGACATTTCAAAATATTCGTAAGGGTAGTTATCAGATAAAAGCCCTTAGATGCTCTTATAACGAACAGTTTCTTTTCTGCAGTACTCTCCAAAAAGAATTTTGATTTCAATAACCTCGAGTTACGAAGATTTTTCTGAAAGCGTATGATTGTATGAGAGATTTTTGTCTATAAAATGAGACATTTAAAAATGTCGTGCATCATCCTTTACAATAGAAAAAGAGACAAACAACGAGTTTTCGACCGGTTCCAGTTCCATTTTCCGAACATCTCTCTTACCTTTTGAAATAGCGTTATTGTATTGGATTCTGTCATGCTATAGAGCTTTTTTATAGCTAATTTTATACAGAAAAGTCTACTCCACAATTCTATTTAAAAAATAATTGAAGGTCGAAGTTACTGGAACAAGAACCTTTTTCCATACAACTCAAATCCGGTTGCATCTCACAAGCATTTTTCAATATTACCTGCGGAAACTATCAGCTAACAGGAAGACTCATAAAGTGTTCTTTTGAAAATTGGTTTCTGATATTCTATAGCTCTCTATTTTCTCAATTTAAAACTATGTTAGTGATTTAGCAGCATGGCTCAGTCGGCTAGTAGGTTTGCAACGTACTTCACAGGTACGAAGTTCGAATCGCGGCAACGGCGGTCGCGTAATAGTCTTGGACAACCTATCTAATGCTCATTGCCTCGGTACCTTTTGGCACTGATGCAATGCGGAAACCCGATTTCGATGGCCATTGGACTAGAGCGATGAGGGTTTAAAAAAGGTATATGAACTACTATGTCTCTCTTAGTTATCCATATTCAGATATCATTTCATTCAAACTGCATGTTTTCATTGTTTCCTGCTATGACGACCTAAGAAAAAAGCATAAAAGGCGAGCATTCGGATTTTTTGAGGAACACTTTTGGTCGTTCTGTACACTGTCATTTGCTCTATCCAAAACGATACGATCAGTTGCGTTGTCCATCCTTTAAGAAAGAATAAAAGTATGAAAAATAATTAAGCATCGAATAATTTGATCTCCTTGGTCGAACAAAAGAAAACGTTGAATGAAAAAATCATATACAGAAGTGTAGAAATTTTTATGAGATCGTACAGCGTAGCATCTGATCTATCCAAATATGAGGAAGAAAAAAAGGTCTTTGTCTATAAAACACTATTTTTGGGAGGAGAGAGGGAATCCCGCAAGTCACGTTAAAACTTTTCAAGGAGTGAGGGAGTATATGGAATTAAAATATGAAAACGACTCCTACTTAAAAGACTGCTTAATAATAACTAGAGTTTATCTAGATAGCGAGTGGAAACAGCCTTGTAACGCCGCTAATTAGCCAAAAAGTGTTATTACTAATTCAGAGTTATTTCCGCCATATTACAGCGCAAAGAGTTAGACTTGGGACCTAAATTAGTCTAAACCTAAAGCGGCCTGGTACGCATTACATATTATATAACCGTTGACTCACAGTCAAGGGAATATTGTTCAGACTACTTTTCAACATTTCCTAGGTCAGCTATGAGTGGTTGTCAACGATTTACTGACGTTGAAATAAGCAATAAAAGACCGCCTGCTTGTTATGGTTATCTTACGTTAGTTCAAAACTGGTTCTACTAGAAACAGCTGTTGATTCGGTACCAGCTCAAGTACCAGATTTAGTTCGTTTTGTTAAACTGGCCAAAAACCATTGCACGTACCCGAATGAACATGGTCTAACGCAAGATGAATCCGCAGCTCTGTACCTTTACATGCTGGAAATGAGTGATGAACAAGGTTTTTATCATATTCTAAATCAAACTCTACGAGTCGAAAATCGGTCAGCATTGAAACCCTAGTTCCCCTATTTAAAACTGCTTGATACAGCTGTTAACAAACTACCGTCGACCAGAACAGTTGTATGCAGGAGGCTGGGATAAACTTTAGTAATTCATTTCAAAAGGATCAAACAGTTACGTGGTGATTGATCTTAGACTAAAGAGAGAATTCGGCGCTATGATGCGGCAGAGTCCAGGTTTTGAAACTTTTGCTTCTTAATGTTTTTCCAGTGCTTCATCTTGAAAATTCGAAAAATCATGGGTCAGTTTTCAGATCGCACTCTGCTGCATCACACCGATGAGTTGTCTCTTTAATTTAAAATCACCTCGAGGTTTGTAGTGCTTAGGAAAGAGAAGAAATTCTGTATATGGCAAGACCTATTTCTGAACTCTTGCACTCAGGATAAATTTTGAAAAACTTAACATTTCGAGTTGGCATTTTTGCTATGAACGTATCCTGAGAGGACTAGCATTCACTGGAAATTTTGTTCAAATCGGACATTCTCTTTAGAAAACAGATTTTTAGGGAACTCTTAATTGCGTTAGATGAAAGTCCGTCGTCATTAAACGAATTAATAATTAAACATCCATTATTGAAAGCATTAATTTCCTGTTATAAAACTAGTACTATCTCCCTGGATAAGCATCAAGAAGGATTTTTAACAACATTAATAAATAATATAACATCGAATTGCCCTAGCTACATCGAATACAAAAGTGTTTTTTCGCGGATTTTTAACAAGTTTTCTAGGAGCCTCGAAAACCAGGTCTTTGAATAATAGTTTTTTCTTGGATAGTTATGCAATTAAAAATTTTCTGAACGCACAGAGCAGACTTTTCTGATCAAAATAAGACCTCGCACAACTCTGA